TCTCGCTCTTCCAGGCACTAATCCACTGTCCGAGCCGAGCAGCCATCTGATGCGGGAGTTCGGCAAAATGGGCAGGTTCGCGGCGTGAGGCTGCGCCTAGGCGTGCTACCACTCTTCCCCCATGTTTTGACATTTATTATGTGTGCGCAGCCCAAATAGCTCGTGTCAAACAATCATCTAGTCTCTGTGCTGGTCCAACGCATCTCCCGCATGGCCCATCGAAGGCACAATAAAAAAAACCTAGATAATTCGGTAAGAGCGCGTACGGAGAGCCAAATGAATAAGAGATAAAGCAAACTGACTGAATAGGAAGTAGCTTACAGCTCAGATAAGAAGGCAATACATTTTTCAATGAATTCGGGAGCGAGAAAGTCAATTGCAGTAAGGGCATCTATGGCCGAAGTCAGCATTTCTTCCACCGGAAGGTTAGTTTTCGTCTAAATGGGTAAGAATGGAAACAGGACAGTGAGATGTGTCAAAAAAACAAACTAACTGACTGACTGCAGGAGTGTGAGGACGCTTTCTGTTGACGTCAACAAAGCAATACGGTTAGACTTGCAAGCAGAGTAAAGAACAAATACAACAAATTCGCGAGCTTAAATAATGAGATCAGGCGCATAATTGCGACAATTGTCTGAAGAGTTGCCATAGCGGACAAAGTATATACTACACAATTTATAAGTCTGCCATTATTTCTACATTATAGTGGATAGAGTCGCACTCTTAGCAAAATGACTGCAAATTCCAATATCTTCATACCGTTCTGGTCCGACCAAACAATAAGTGCTATTTGCTTAATCAACTCGACAGTCGACTGTCGGAAGTACAAGCCGAATAATCTGGTTACCTGCGTTTACCTCTGTGGTGCATGGGGTGGACAGGGAACGGGCAGTCAGTCTGATTGGCTGGCAGGTAATTTGAATACTAAGGGGCGCAAGATATGATTGCAAGCTGATTCCGCCTCGTATGTAACTCATAATTGCGGCTTCGCCAATCTGTTCTAGACGCACCGGCCACAGGCACATAGGTAACCGTACAAAATGTTAGATTAAATTAGGCCCGGTAAGGCTCCTAAACGTTGGTGAGTTCGTGCAAAAATAGAGAGAGGGCGAACTCCGCTATGTTATGACGCACATTATGACTATCGAGTTCGATGAATTCCACCATGTGCTCAAGACCAAGGACGGTGACTGGAGTCAGAGACGAGATTTAAGTGAAAAAGACGCGCAGCCGTCTACCTCAGTCCCGACCTTCAACCCATTTGAACCGGTGACGAAACAGAATCAAAATGACCAAAAGAGATAGGGCGTAGACCGCTTTCTACTATGCAGGCCAGGACACCGCCTTACTTTATCTTAAGTGAAAGTAGTATTTTGCGCTGGTACTACCGCACTATTCGACGC